TTTTTTTTTTTTTATTGATATTGGATAACATTTACATTACTTACATTACTCGCCGTTTTTACACTCGCTCCAGACCTTTCGTTCAAATGTTGACCATCGCTCGCGTTCGCAAAAAATATGACTGTTTTGCAGTCTGTGTATACTCATGTCTACAGTCTCGCCACTCTCTAGCCTTGAACACTGAATGTCAATAAATGTCATTCCTGTTGAGAAATGTGCAATATAAAGTAGTAAAAGGGAATGTTTGTCTGGTTGATGAAATATTGATTTTTCTTTTGCACCTTTCAATAGGGGTCACAGGAATGGAAAAGTTGTTCAGAATGGAACTGCTGAAATTGACAGTCTGCAGGTAAATGTTTGAAAAAGAACAACAAATGTACTTTTGTTTGCCCTCAGACTTCAGTGTGAAAATAACAAGCAAGTCATTCTATTCTTGAGTCAAATAAAACTTGCTTCTTTGCCCAGTGAATATAAAATATTTCATTTGATGCATCAAGTAAATGTATGTCCATTGTTATCCTCAGAGCCTTAAAAAATCTCAAAATGGGTTTGGGCGGGGAGGGGGAGGGGTGCAGGGAAGTGATGAAACAGACTACCAATACCACAAAGCTTCCCTTGCATCTTATGTTGAGGAACCCTATTCTCAGGCAGCCAGCTGTACAACTTTCATTTTTTTGAAGTAGCTACATCAGTTGTCACATTCTTTCATCATTGTTATGTCTGAGATACAGCTGTGATAATCCTTTAATTCTTTACTCAAGTCCTTTGTGGTACAATAAAGCACGTTATATCCATGTCACATGTACAGGAAGTTGGCTTTTTTTCATCAGGCAAGCAGTGGCAGTGGAGGCAGTGCTAGTATTGCTCTGCAACATAATTCACATTTGCTGAACAGCGCTGATGAGAGGAAAGTGAACCTTCAAGTGCAGTCAACAGCCAATGGTTTTATTGGATTTAACCTTCGAGGTGGAAGTGAATATGGCTTAGGTCTATATGTATCTGGGTAAGAACAATAGAATAGAATTTAAGAGAAATGAGAAGTATTCATCTTGCGTTTCATTTTGTTTCTTCTACTGCAGGTGCTGAATCTCTCACTATGTTATGTCACTTCCTGTATGATGCACTGTGTCATTTTTGTCTCTTCTTGGAGAATTAGATTTTAGCAAATTCTCTAGTCATTTGAGGATCATCAAGTCTTGTGAAGGGCTGTTATAGAAGTAGACTGCTGATTAGAATTAGTTATTAAGGGCTCTATGAGGAAACAATCTAAGCTCTGGTGGTGCAAATCCTTCATTGTTCTTCAAATTTCAGAAATACCATTTCTAGAATGTTTTGTAGAGGTAATTCCCTCCAGAAGAGATTTGATTTCAAGAAAAAACATTTTCCAAGCATTCATGGCATTTGCACAAACCTTTCAGGGTGAAAAAGATTGAATCATAAAAAAATGGACTAATATCTAAACTTTATGGAGATGCCAAAACACTTTAAACCTTGTAGATGATATAGACACTTCTAGAACAGGCAAGTACTGTTCTCTTGGCAGTCGGTGCCAAATTCACCTGTTGTGATATTTTACAGACATTTAACCTGAACTTTTCAGCTCACCAGGAAAGTTGGGAGAAGGGACAGTTACTACTACAATATTTATTAAAGTAATCTCAGTGTTGTTGTCTTTATTCAGTGTTGATGCTGGCTCACTAGCAGAACAAGCAGGGTTTAAAGTTGGTGATCAAATCATGGAAGTTAATGGAAAGAACTTTGAAAACCTTAAACACAAAGAAGCTGTTGACTTCATCAAGTCTCAAAAGCACATCATGGTTACACTCAAGGTAACATTCTTCTTTGAGGCTGTTAACTTCTGATACCTACATGTAGCTGATACTCTGCAGAACATTCCTATGATTAGTTATTTATGCTGCTTTTAAATTGAAAACCATGGAAGCAGTCCTAGAAAAGTAACCAGAGGAAAAAAAAATAAAAGCAGTACTTCTGGCCAAATAAAAAAGGGTGGTTGTTTTATCTTGAATGCCGAGATATGTATACCTAGTGTTGGTGATTCTAGGGATTGAAGAAGATTGAAAGCCCAGTGATGAACTTTAGCATTTGGTGATATGCAGGGAGTATTTTCCTTCCTCACCCCTCCCCACTAGGATGTCTGCAAGCCCATAATAGGTGACTACCCCACAGATTTATCCTGGCATTTTGTTGGTTTTCCCATCACTTTCCTCCAAACAACTCATTGGTCAAGCATTGATCCCTGTACTGATCCCAAGCACTGATCCCTGTACTTCCACTAGTAGGTGTTTCTTTAGATATAGCAGCTTGGAAGTGCAAGAAATGTTTAGACTTGCCACAAGTTGACCTTTTCTTAAACCTTGACTTATTTATCTCCCTCGAGCAAAGCGAGAGGGTAATCTTTGTGCAACGAAGTTGCAAGGGTGAGCGTGAGCAATGTAAGTCATGAGAGGTTGACTTGTTTCACTTGCAGGAATGTGAATCGGAGCGTAAATTTTTGGTGCGAAAAACACGATTGACATTTCGCACTTCTCCTGTGCTCCACGCGCGATCGTTGCAAAAGCAGAAAATGATTGCCATCAAAATGTTTATGAGTGCTGTTCCGTAACTCAAATGAATTTATTTGTGTACATTGCAGTATATAGCCAGCAAACAAAAGGCGAAAGCTGTTCTGTTGAGTAATGCCTCCTGAAAAGACAAAACCGTGTTTAAACTGTTCGAGAAATATTTGTTTTAGTCTAGATTAACCAGCTATCGACCAGAGAGCTGCCTGACAAATGCTATAAACTTATGTAGATCTAGCTTGTATCAACAAGAATCTGAATAAACTAAAGAAGACGGAATTAGTTGGGGAGAACTTTAATTCTTTAAGGCTCTCTTGATTAAATAACGTTGAGAATCGAAGTCGCAACGAACGGCAGAGAATAAAAGCGCTGTTCCCAAAAGTCCTTCATTGATCGACAACTGCTTTCAGCACAGTAAAACAGCCGATGCAAATTTGCTGCGATGCCCTTTCTTTGTAGAGAAGAAACCTGGTCATTCATTAAATCAACTTAAAGTGCAACAATTACACAAACTGCAACAATGGCTCTGTTCCTCTTCAAAAGGTCCAAACTTAATTCTCTCAAACGATCCGGATCACGCAGGAGCTCAGATCGCGCCTGTATTAAGTAAACAAACACATATTGGTCGGATAAATAGCCTTCCACTGCTTTTCCCTGTCCTTCTTTTAAAGACTTGAAATTAAGTTGGATAGACCATATTCAATTGCTTCCATAAAATTCATATCCTTAAGTATATCTGTGAACAAAAGCTTAAGCTAAGTGAAAAGGATTTTTATAGTACTTGAACTCAGCAGACATTTGCTCTGAGAGTTGTGTCGTTGATTGCGCACAATGTCATGACGTATAGTCAGTACTTGTTTGTTCATTGGTTAATGTGTATTTACGTCACCGGTGGAAAAATCCACCAGTAAAATTTGGTGCACTGCAAGTGGGAAAAGTCCCTTCCAATGGCGAAACCAACAGGCCAGGGAAGAATTATTGGAAAGGACTTCTAGAAAGTCTAGAAATGTTGTGTGAATGCAAGTTGAGACAGGTGTCTCAATGGCTTTTTTCGAGTGCTTCCGTAACTTTTACTGTTCCTGTAACTCTATAGGAACATGGAGAAAACATGGAAAGGAAAACATGCAAAACATGGAAAGGAAAATCGTATATGAATCTATAATTTTTAATTGTGATTATCAAAATTAAATTTCTTTTTGCTTGGACCATCATTGTTGACAGCTCATGCTAGTTTTGTCTCAATCAAGTCATAGAAGTACAGTGTTTAGCATGTACTTCCTTATGTAGTGTCTTCTAAATTGTCATGTAACTATTAAATATTCTTTGTTTTAGGCTGTAGGAAGACTTCCTGAGGCAAAACATTACCAATCACAAATTAGTTGGGTGTATCCTGATGGAACTGTAGTGATAGGTAAGTTGCACTGATGAAAGACTGCACAGTCAACTGCACAAGCACCTCAAATATCTAAGGTTGCCTCAGGCCCCCAATTAGCTATTGTTAGAGCACATTTTGCAGTTTAATTTCAGCCTAGGGGTGTTTCTGACCAATCTGCAGTCAATGACATAATTTGAAAACGTCTGACGTTTTTAAATTGTAAAATTATGATCCACGCAAATACTGCAGTATTAGTTTGCAAAGAACATGCGAGCACCGTATGTAATTGAGCCGCAAATTTAGATATTTGTGGAAAATAGTTGGTCAACAAAAAATTAATCTGTGGTACCAATGTAAAGTGTTACTACTTGTTTGTGTTATTTTATCTCAGTCAATTGCTGGTCAGTCAGTCGGCTGGTTAGGCAGTCGGTCCTTTCTAAATTCATTAAGTCAAAATATAAGCACCTTTCATCTTTTTTTCTACATCATAAGAAGTATCCTAGGGAAATTGCTTGCTTAAACTCTACTTTTTCCTTTCAGAGGGTAAAGAAAATTTCAGTAGATCTATCTCAGCCCCAGCCTCTCCGCTGTCTTCTCTAGAGCTTAGCCACTCTAGTACTCAGTTTTCTGACTTTGGACATGAGAATCCCACGAGAGATATGCCAAGTCCCAGACCACCATCACGTGAAGCTGCGGTACAGACCCCTCAGCCCTCTCCTTATCCCGTGCCAGAAGTGAAAGAGGAAGTGGTAGTAGTACAAGTGAAACAGGACTTTGCAGATTTGGAGAGAACACAGAGCTCCAAGAGTCTGGCAACATCATCAACCAGCAGTGGTGGTGACAATGAAAAGATGAATACGCTTCATTCAGCGCATTCTTTTGAGAGTGTTAACAGCAGCAGAGAGGAAGTGGCAAAGAGATATTCAGTGTCCAGCATGAGCAAAGAGGAGGCCATTTTAAGTGGTAGTGATGGTGAACTAAATGATAAGAGGAAAGTGAAAAAATCCAAGTCTTTTCTACAGAAACATGGTGACAAAATCAAGTCTAAGTTGAGCTTTAGGAAAAAAGGAAAACCCAAAGTTGAAGAAAGAGGTAGGATGAATAAATAACAACTGACTGTGACTTGTTTTTCTCCTCCTCTCCCTACTCTCCGCTGGGTTGGTGAATTAGCTAATCCTTTCAGCTACAGTTGGACCCTACTAATTTGAACTTGGTTATTTCAAATTCCCTCAGCTGCTGTTATTTTGAATTCAAACCCATTTCCCTTGGATTTGCCCTTCAGTCATTTACTATCGGCTATTAATTCGAACTATTTTTGGTTTCCCTTGAGAGTTTGAAATAGAGGGGTTCCCCTTTATGTACCATAATACTACCCTAGCATATATGTTATATGGTTGTCTTATGCTAGAGCCACATTAGGTACAATTTATTGTTCTACTTCTAGTTTCTGCGAGAGGCATCCAATTATCAACCCACCTTATTTACCATTCAATGATTAGGATGTGAAAGCATGACTAACTGGGTGATAATCACAAGGCAGAGAGTAAATGTCACCAGAGCTGTAGAATTGCATTTTGGTCAATTTGTATTTACCAGTTGGTCAAACCATTTATTTGTCATGATTTAAATTCAATGTCATTGATTGTGTCATGGGGCAGTATGTTTAGGTTGTTGCATCATGATATCATTTTGTCTTTTGTTGTCTTCCTTCCTGTTTCACCTTTTGTTCTATGTATCTTTTTGTTTCTCTTGGGCTGCCAGATTATGAAAAACATTTACAAATTTTAATTCTAAAATAAAAGGTGCATGAAAGTATTGACATTACAAAAACAATGTGCTAGACTAATATTAGTAATTTTAACTTATAAAGCTTTAATTTGTTAACATAAGTTGAAATAATTATTTGTGTTATGTCTTGAATACAAACGGGTTGATGTCACTTTAATCTAATGTATCGATACACGTACATGTTTAAATTTCTGAGTTACATGGTTTGTCACAGTAATTTTCATTGCGTAAGGGTCTAATACAACTGCACTGTAATGTACTTTCTTCTCAGATCAATGGATTTTCTGAATTATAAAATAACTGTTTATAAGTTGTTTGCAAGTTTTGTCTTTCTGAATTAGTAAAGTTCTTTGAACTCAAACACAGAAGTTTTCACCATAACCGGCATGAGTGTAGTAGATTAATACAAATACTAACCAGGTAAACTATAACTCTTACATAACTTGAGAGTTAGAATTTATATAGATGATATGATTAACATGTCATTGTCATTTTACCTTAAAATAACGGTACAAATTCTTAACAATAGGTGGTAACAAGTTAAACTAACAACTTTAATCTAAATACTAAACTGCTTAACCTGTTGAAATGGCCCAGTTTTGTGTTAATGTTGTTTTATTGTGTCTGTTTTTTTGCTTGTTGGTATTCGCTCTCTAGTTTCTTGTGAGATGCAACTTCCTCTGCATGTGTCCCCCATTTTTGAGAAGGGTTTTGGTACTCAATTAATGCTAGGTGGCTCCACAAGACAGCAGATGTTATTGTACATTGAGGAAAAGGCAAAAAGGATTCTGGTAGTAGATGAATACAATGCTGTAATCAGGCATATCAAACAGGTAAACTGGCACTTTTGGTTCTTATTGTTAGGCCCAGGTCAAACGTTGCACTTCACATGAGACAAACTAATCTGCAGTTTGAGTCGATCCAATCGGGTAAAGCTCGACCGTTGCATCAAACATCAAACTTGATTTGATTTTAAATCAACCAACATGTTCTATCCATCTGTTTCAGACAGATAGAAGGTGCTGGTCGATCTAAACTCGGTCTGATGAACTCAGTTGAGTCAAACATGGAACTTATCATGAACTAATTCGCACAGACTGTGTAGTTCATCTCATGTGAAGTTTGACGTTTGACTTGAGCCTTACAATGCAGAATGTAATTTTCCCTAATGCATACAAACTTAGTGACTGAGCTGCAATATTTTGTCAAACTTTTTTCTAAAATTGAGATTAATTTGTAGTTACACCAAAGGAGATTGAAAACTGAATTTCGGTGTTTCTAGTGTTTGGCAAATTGCAGACTCCTAGTATTTGCACACACTTGTATCTGTATATTTTCATTAAAGTATTGAAATAATCAAGACCTTGAAGAGTTTTTTAATTAGTTGGAAGTATCTGTTTTTGTAAAAAGTACACATCCATGGTCAATGACAATTTAATCCTTGTACATGTTTGTATAGTCAGATCTTAGGCTTGCTGCATGTGAAGCTTAGAGATTAACCGATTTGCTTGGAAAAATGATTTGTTATGCATGAGGTAATGTGCAAAGATAAACAAGTGAAGGACACTTTTGACATTGTAACCTGTGTTATATTTGCAGTATCAAGAAGATTCAGATGTTGAAGCTCTTGTAAACAAGCTTCTGGCTATACTGGACAAACCTGAAAAGGCTCTTCTGTTGAGAGATGTTAGGTGGGGATCTATATTTTCACCAGAATCAGTTTCACCTAACCCGTCACACCCGCCTTTCCACCCGCCCTTCCGGAAAGCAAAGATCAGAGAGAGCGTCCCTCCGGACTTTCTTTCGGGACACAGGCTAACCTCATCCAGCTTTGTTCTTTTTGAGGAGTCATGTACAAAATATTTCATACCTTCAAGTTGACGTGAATTGTTCTGCTTCCACTTCACTTTCCTTGAAAATGTCCGTAGGGAGTCTTTCATTCTGTTTTTTTATAAGAAAAAGGAAGATATTCTCTCTAGAACAGCTGGAGCTGTTTTCTTAAAACTCGACCGCGTCCCAGTGCGCCAAACTGACGTGTGCAAATGCGGAGTGCTGATTGGCCAGACGGCAATTAACTTGTCCAATATGATCAGAGTTTATCTTTTTTGCACGCTATCCATGGATTGTTTTACAATTTACGCTGTACTGTAATTTGGTCTAATTGTGCAATTTCTTCGTTTAATTGAATTTTCTGAATTTGTCAACAGGACGCTAGTTTTACCGTATGACCTTGGAAGGTTTGATGCGATGGTGTCAGCCCACGAGAAAGAGGCATTAGAATACCTCAGTGGATTTGTCCCTGGTATGAGTTTTTTTCGTTTTCGAGTTATTATTGATGTGAGCATTTAAAAATCATCCTGTGTGATGATGGTTGTTGTATTATTTTTTGGTCAAGGTTCACCGACAATAATACCTACTGTAGCTGAGAAACCTAAACGCCAGCTTGTGGCCGCCATCCAAGGTATGTGCAATACATACGATACAAACCCCGATATAGTGTTATAACTGTAGTGTAGTGTTAAACAATGTAGATTAATTTTAATTCTCGTTAGAGTCATCTAACCTGGCTGGTGTCTCGTCACTATTGATCTCGCTCCAGAGTTTCTCGGCTAGATCGTTTGTATTTTTCCAACAAGTAATTTAAAAACTTTTTTACGTGACGAACTTTCCAAACGTTGGAAAACGATATGGTGTTCCAAACATTGAGATCCCTCGTTGAAAAGGGTGTTACAAGTACTACAAAACAGAAACAAACCTATTTGTTGCATCTGTTGCAAGACGCGCTTTCGTTCCTTTTGACAGAATATCCTTCTTATTGCAATATCTCTGAAGATTACGACCAAATATCTTATTCGTTACACTGATGCAGCTCACTCATGAATTAATAATCACCCAGGAAATTATTGTATATTAGTGGTGGAGTATTTTGTTCTGCGATCCTTTGCATAATTAGTTTATGGTTTGATGATGAGGAGTTCCTGCCGTGTAACTGTTTTTCAGGCAGATACAAGCCACGTCTCTCGCTGATAATGTTATCAAGTAAGAGAAATACTCGTTACAAGCTATTAGAACTTATTTCTGACAGATCGTAATTAACTTTGTATTCACAGACAGCAGAGGGAGTTTTCAATTACGAACGAAAGAGGAAGTGGAGAAGATAAAGCAAGAAAGGGAAGAAATGGATAAAAAGCGTAATCAAACGGCTTGGTTAGGGGGCAGCATTCTGGATCGAAACTCGCCGAGAAACCTAAACAATCCTAACGCCATGATAACGCTACCGGCCAACTACACGTTAGATACAGCGCCTGCAAGAGATACGAGTACAACAAATAGCGCTCCAGCATCGTTTGATGTCCCAGTTATACAGGTTAACAGTGGCGAGGCATCTGGAACTCCGAAACGCGATGAAAACGATAATGAAAGACTCGTGACAAACTCGCTCCTGGTGCCTGATAGAGTATCAATGGAATACAAAGACGATGATGAAGAAACTGAAGCTCGGGCGGCGTCCACTTCGTCTTCATCCGCGGGAATATCGATGGCAGTTCCAGTGATAGCTGTCTCTAGCGAGGCGACATCAGTTACAATACTTCTTTCCAAAAAGAGGACCAGTTTAGGTTGGTTAAATCTTACTTTTAGCCTTTATGGCATCATCGTCACAGTCTTCAAGTATTGCTACAGTACTGTTTCACCATGCGTCGTCATTTTCCATCAGCAGTGCTCCATTAATGCTCGTCATTGTTCGCCACGCACAGCAGTTAGACTCCATTTTTCTTCCTGTCTCCTTTTCCTCGCTTTTCTACATCGTCCGCCCCCTCCGGTCTGGGAGAAAAGAGAGGGCAACTAGTACGCTTAAATTATGCATCGTAGCTAATTAATTAACTCGCCTCCAGCGGAATATCAGCCCCAATTATTAACTAGTGCGCACTGACTAGACGAATACAAAGCCCAAGATTAGAGTAATTGAGGTTTTTAATGCATTGTTAGCCCGTGCGCATTTGTCCTGTTGGTTAATTGATCTTCACTGCGCCCGTGTACGAGTCTAATCTCCTTTCTGCTGAAAACAAATCGACCATTGTCAGTTAAAGGTGCGTTCGTTTGTCATCCGGATCAGGATCAGTGATCCAAGATCACTGGGATCATGAAGCGTCAAACAAAGGTGATGAATCCTTGCTCACTCAGAGTGGATTCATCAGTTCCTTTGATGTACCATGATCCGAGTGATCTTGGATCATTGATCCTGATCCGGAACACCCCAAAGGTATGCACCCCAATTTTTTAACGAGACGGAGTGAAAGTTGATCTTTGTTGAACACATCCGTAAGCCATTTTAAAAGTTGTCTTGTCCTTGCTATAATTCATCGCGACTTACATCACGATGTTAGTCCAGAATGTCGGTTTCGTTAAAACCTCTTGACAGGAAATTTCCTTTTCTTTCACAAAGTGTGCGATCCAGGGTTTTTTAACTCCTGTGGAAACGTTGTTGCCTCAGAGTGTATAAAACCGGGCCATATTCTCTTTATTGTTCCAGGTATAAGCATTTCAGGAGGTAAAGGTTCCAAATCCCAACCTGAGGTCAGAGTAGAAAAAATATTCCCAGGTGGCGCTGCTGCCGATGATGGGAGACTTAAGGTGAGCTCCAGCGGTTTAACACATTTATGCGTGGAGTTGTCCGCTGTGTTGCTACGTAGCTGTTACCAGCTGTTCAAAGGCTTGAAACTCTATCCATCTGTTAAGTTATAACAAAACGAAATACGCTATCCGCTGGATACTCTTTGATTAAGTGGGTTAAATAATTCATCCTTTGGATAACTAGGTTTAGGTTTATAAAGTTTGTGCCCCGGGGAGGGACTGCTATATGAAATGGACGGGGGTGGTCCCTAGAGGTACCAAGATCCTGTTTTGTGGGCGTGGCTATAAATACTCCTGAATAGTTTGGTATTATGTAGCCTTCCATGACTTTTGTTGTCTGGTGATTTATTTTACATCAGAGCGGTGATCAGATCCTGTCTGTGGACGGAGAAAGTCTGCAGGACGTGACGCATGCTGAAGCAGTGGACATCATTAGAAAATCCTACAATAACAAGTCCAAAGATGTGATGGAAATCGTGGTGATACCCAAGCAATAACAGAGTTTTGTGTACTATTTATGAATTATATATATCGTTATGTTAATAGAAAGGTTTATAAATAACTGGCATACCACCTAAACCACAGTAATCACTACTGACTAAACACAGCGAACGGAAATAACGCAATGAACCAATCAGAACGCGGAATGAGAACACGTGAGCGGTGCCAATGATTGATGCGGATTTTGTTCATGATTGGTTTAAATGACTAGAGTATGGCTGCTCTGGTTGGTTCAGGAGAACACGTGGCAATAGCTTGTTGAACCTGTTATAGAGCTTAGCAAATGCGAACTTTACTTTCAGCAAGCAGTTGAAAACTTTCTGACGAACGTAGTTTGCAATGACATTCCTCGTCAATTAATATATTACTAGCAGCTTTTTAGCCCTGGAAACGTGTTTCTGGTAACGAGTGTTCGCTTCCTATGGGGATGAAAAGTGGCGTAGACCAAATTTTTAAAATATTATTTTCTACCTTCATATGCCATGTTACAACTTAATCCAACCAGTGTAAATTGTTATGCCGTGAACTTCCGTAATCTTTAGATTGTAGTTAAGAACTCGTCGAAGGTGTCATCTACATTTATCAGCAAATACTGGTGGTTACGACAAATCATGAGGCTATGTATCGTGTGGATCCAGCTTACAAAAGTGCGAGCGAGTGAAATTGTAAATATACCCTTATTCAAACGATTTTACTATATGTACCCTCCCCAACCTCGTCATCACTCTTCATGGAAAAATACATGTGTACCCGTTACACCATCATGTTCAATTTACACCACTGGCGTGGGTTTGACAGTATACAACCAGGCGCAGGCCGTCCTTTGTATAAAATTAAATAAACTTTGAATTTAGAAACTATCGTACATGAACCACTTGAAATTCCCTTGGACAGCCATAATCAAAATGGACGGCAAAAGAAAACAGTCGAGACGTTTGAGATTAGCAAAGTTAGCACAGAAGTGAATTCGATTCACAGTTACATGTAAGCTTACACTGGATGAGGAAATAGTTGTTAGGGACCATATCATTTTCATAGTTTACAAGTAGCGTTTGAAAAGGAAATAAGGATTAGTAACAATTGCGAGGACACGCAAGAGCTCTTTCCTCTAGACTTGCTGCTTTCGAATGTAGAGAAATAAAATTGTTTTTTGACGATTTTTAATTTGTTTTTCTTTGCACGGTACCTCAAGCAAATGTACTTTTTAGTGATTATTTGACCTTTGTATGTTTTAATAAGAGAACATTTCGAAATACATTTGATAATGAATATTAGAAGAATAAAACTGCGACGTTTCGAAGTCATATTGACTCCATTATCAAGTAGAGGTGTTAGCTGTAGTTTCGAGCTTAAATACAAATAAAGGTGATAGAGTACATTAGAATAATAAGTGTCTATTCGTGAACGGAAACCGAAGTTAAACACGCAGTCAGACTCAATACGTGCAGAAGTATTTATTTAAACATATACCGCACGCACTGTCACGTCAAACACCAATGACAATGAAACTGCAGCTAACACCTCTTCTTGATAATGGAGTCAAAATGACTTCGAAAAGTCGTAGTTTTATTCTTTTAATATTCATTATTATATGTTTTAGCCTTAGTAAGGTACCATCGTTTTCACCACCAATAGTGTCCGAAGTTTGCTGGTCCACCTAGATATCTCTGTTGCAGACCATGCTTAAGTTCCTCTTAGCCTGAATATCATACGACTTCTCTGGTCGCTAACCAAATCTTAGTCCCAGAGGTGACACACTAGATTCCCTGAAGATTTAAAGATTTAGAGTGAAGACAGATAAAGCCTGAGGTCCCGTCCACAGTACGCGGGAGAAATTTGAAAACGCAACAATCATCGGCCATTTTGGATTGGTGTTTGAGGAAAACTTGGAGAAAGAAGTCACATGATTGTCGTGACGTCATCGTTTTCGAAAAGCTCCGTTTTCAAAATGCTTTACGAAAAGCCGGCGTTTTCAAATTCCTCCGGTTTGAAGGGCGTTTCCGAAAAGCTCCGTTTTCGTGACGGCTTAGTGTGGACGGTAGGAATAAAGCTGAGTTTTCAAATTCTCCAGCATGGTGTGGACGGGGCCTTGGGCTTTATCTGTCTTCACTTTAAATCTTTAAATCTTCTTCAGAAAATCTGGTGTGGAAGTGAGTTGTTGTAGCTTATTTGGAAGTACTTAGCCATCCAGATAAAAATAAAAGCAGCCAGTCGTTAGTGCCGAAAATATTTATCATATGAAAGACTACTCAGCCGCTGAAAAGCAACACGGCCTGCTGTGATAAATCGGAGTATTAACTATTCTTGTCACTACATACGATCATTTTCAAAATTTAATTTTTAGCACGTTGATGAATATATTCACACAGTGAGCGCTTACTGCCCGTCTTCTTTAGAATAGATTCTTTTTTCATTTCCGTGTTCTTGACTAGCTTTAAAATTAAACAACGTAGCGACAGTATTTTTGTAAAATATAAGGGATAGAATTTTCGATTTTTGACGACATACGATGTACATTTATCAATAATCCGTACTTTGCAATTAAAGCCGATTTTTACCGTACTTTCAAGTGTTGTTAAGTTATAATAAGTAAGAGATGATCCCTTAAGTCGTTTAGGAGGAGGCAATAATTATTTATTTGTCCTGTGCAGTCAGTGAACTTCAGGACTGCCAGAACTTGCCAGTATGTGTCCCAGCCACAGTTAAGTTTATAGATGCTTGTCCTAGCACTATATCCAGAAGTAACACTAAACTTCTGACCGCACCTCAAGCTTGAAGAGTCTAAATGGTGTGAAAACGGGTTGAACTCTTCACGAGATAAAAATTACCCTGAAGTAACTGGTAACCGAGTTACAAGGGTGATACTTCGTACGAAATTTGTGGTGCATTAAAACTTTGCGAAGATAGTTTGTTTCTTACTTGTTTGGGTCGAACTCTCAGACGATTTTTTTATTTTCCTATTCAGCAACCCCAGTCCAATCCTTGCTTAACTAAAAACAGAGTACCGGAAACAGAAAATAAACTTCGACTAAATATTTAAAGGAATTGTTTTTCTTTTAGCAAAATACATCTTCTAATTTTCTTTCAGTCCATACCTAAAAGCACTCTTGTTCTCTTCTGATCACCACGAGCAGAGTCCGATGGGACGGGACGGGACGCCTTGAGATTTGTCTGGACGCGACAAATTCGTACTACCTTGCTTCTACTGAAAACCATTTTATCACTTTATTTGTTTCTGTTTTTTTTTTTTTCTAGGTAGAGACCATTGTTACGCACTGTTTTGAAACATCTTTTGTGAAAATCCCATTCGTAACATACAAGAACGCAGAGACCCCATACCTCCCCTGTTGATCTCATCATGACCACGCCCTCGTTTAGACGTGCGTTTTGACCGAAAGAGGGTCGAAAGACTGGTACTAATAAAATACAAGATGGCGGAAAGTTCAGGCGACGAAGATTACTGTGAGGTAGATTTCGTGTTTTACCGTGATCGGGAGGAATGGAAAGATGTCACTCCTATTGAACAAGATGATGGACCTTNCAGCTAACTATACTGTGTGGTGAGTGCCATCAATACAAACCTATGAGAAGAGTGCAGTTACTTGATTCCTGTAAGTTCATCAATGAGCACATGCCATGTTGAATAGAACTTATTTAATGCGATATGACGTGATACAATGTGGGTATGCACTTTGTGCGGGGAAACGGATATTACAATTCCGAGGTGCTTACAAGGGAATGGGAGGGGGGAGGGAGCTTATCTTTTTCTCGAAATGGGAGAACTAGTTAATAGTGAAGGTGAACTCTTTCCTTCTCCAAAGTGAGTAAGGATCAACAGTAAGTTGTTGTAAGTTGTCAGTTGTTGTCAGTTGGTCCTACATATTAGACAGTGAACTGGAGACTGAATGACTGAATCCAGAGTAAACTTAATTAAGATAGCAGATAAAATTTAGCAATGCTATAACACAGAATGCAATGCTATTAGTAATAACAAAGATATTTTGTAGCATAATTTGCAAGCCTAAGGATAAAGGCAAGCTGCTTACATGTATTTAACCACAGAGTATTCTTTGGTATGCATAATTTAACTTTACTAATTTTATACTTAACAATAATTACAATTCTTAAGTTATACAATGTTGATCATCTTTTTATCTACAAGGTATTGGAGAGATAGTTATTGGGTGAACATATAGATATCTATGGTTTTGTTTGTTTCTCCTAATGGAAGGCATTTTCGAAGAGTTTTGTTGAAATCCCTCAACAAGGACTTACAACAGGAATTGCAATACGTGAGTCAAGTCATTAAAGATCAACCAAAGAACTACCAAGTTTGGTACGTTTCACTTAAATATACACATTCAAGAATTAAAATGTCATGGTCTTTTATTGATATCAGTAAATTAGTAAACAGATGATGAGATTGAAGATGAATAACAACCAGCATGATAGATAACAGGGATTGTGTAGTGGTGACAGCATTCACCTATTTTGAGTTTCAGGTGAATTCCTAAAATTACAGCATTAAGAAGGAATAAAAATAGTTAACAGACCTAACAGAACCAACCTAACAGATTCCTAATTCAGCTATTTATCGAATATGAATAAAATATGGAATTGCTTTTTGTGAGATTTGTTATCTGCCTGTCTGAAGTGACTAAGTTTTGATTAACCTAATTTTTTGTTGATCTGATGGTACCCATTTGTTGAAAAGATTTCAACAACTTGATTATGCAACACCATGTTGTACTTGTACTGGCCATCAGGCCAGGAAAGGTAGATTTAAGTGTGCAGTGGAATTTTGTCACTGAAAAGTTTAACCTGTGGATAATCTTGTCCAAACAGGTATCACAGAAAGGTTATTGTTGAATGGCTCAAAGATCCAAGTGAAGAACTGCAGTTTACTGCAGACATTCTACAACTAGATGCCAAAAACTATCATGCATGGCAACATCGACAGTGGGTCATCAAAGAATTTAGTTTATGGGAAAAGGAACTTGATTATGTCGATAAACTTTTAACTGAAGATCTCAGAAACAACTCTGCATGGAATCAAAGATATTTTGTGATATCTGAAACAACTGGTTTTATTGAGGACATTGTGCATAGAGAAGTAAGGTGAGTAGTTTTTTTACAAGGTTTCTTTTACATAATAATTGAATGCGAATTTGAAATACGACCTGGTATTGTCACTGAATCCAATTATTAATATAAATAAACATAACAGCGTCAGCAAGTCAGTTGGTCGATTGTCATAACTTTTTTTTTCATAGATTAACGGTGGATCTCATAAAGAAAGTGCCTAATAATGAGAGTGCTTGGAATTACTTAAAAGGGTAAGCTGAAGGAAGTACACTGTCTTATATTTGAGTAATTTATTACTGTCATCTTTACTGTTTTGTGGTGTCTTAGCATCTCATTTGTGTTTTTCAAGTCGTTTTCTAACCATTATTTTTAAAGTGGTTTTGTTTATTAAATAATTTGACCAAACCATTTTTTCAGGGCTGTCATTGCTCTCTGTCAGTGTGGGCTCACATCTTTAAAATTTCTAACATTTCTCTCATTTTTGTACTATGGTCTTGTTATAATTTGCTCCCTTGACATAATTTAGCATAAAATGACTGACCTATCAAAATTGAAGAATAATATCTCTGAGTAAAACCAGACATCATTAAGTAGTAATTAGCGGTATTTTTGTATTGCAGTGTTCTTCTCCAGACTGGTCTCAGTAAATATCCAGGTTTGAAGAACACCTTGTTAGAAATGTACAGTAATGGAATTGATTCACCATATTTAATGTCAACATTGATTGACATCTATGAAGAGGAACTTGAGAGGGGTCTCACTGATTCAAACTGCCTTGAACAGGCTTTAGAGGTATGTTAGATGTAATCATAAAATTCTAGTCTAGTTCTACAATCATCACAATAGACCAATTTCAATATATTAAAATTCAGCCTAGAACAATAGACCTCTGTCAGTAGAAGGCTCTGGGGAATAAATACAGAGTTTGTGGGGTTTATTCCCCAGAGCCTTGTGCTGAGGTCTATTGTGTCAGGCTGAATTTAAAATTATATTGAAATTGGTCTATTAATCCATCACAATGAAGACATATTTGGTTGCACAGGCCTGCCAATACCTCTTTGCAAGTGTGTTGGGCATTTGAAATCTATTTACTAATGTATGTATGCCTTAATCAATGGTGTTACAAATAGTATTATGTACTAGGTATGTTATACATGTAAGTTTCATTGCATTTTTCCAAGGCCTACAGGGAGAAATAAAAATGTAAGCAATGAGTAAAATGTATGTGTTACCACAGTGATTTAATATATCACAAGTATAGTCTAGTAAGCTCAGTTTCAGTTAAGGTTGACCGAATGGTGGTCTGGGTATTCATAATTTGGAATTCAGAATATCGGTGTAGAGGAAATCTACAAACCAGAAAAACTACAGAAATATGGTCTCGTGACTGGAAAATCTTATGTATCCTTCCTAATACTTCATGTACAAAAATGCAAAATTTTTAATTTTTGTATGTGAAATATTAGGAAGGATGTAACATAAGATTTTCCAGTCATAAGACCATTATTCTTTCACTGTTACATGACATTTAGTTCAAAATTCTTCTTAAATTCAGTCTGAAGAAAAGAACCTTGTTTATACTAGTCCAAAGGAAAAGAAAACATCAAAATGGCTTTTGTTGTGTAGTTATATCTGATCAATATGCATGTGCATCAGCTCTCTACTTCTACCCTCACTAACTTTCAGTCTTGTCACGGTAGCTTGAGGTTTTGATCCAAGAACATTAATCGAAGTGGCTGTGTACAGGAAAGTTCTCATAGTCTTGTATTATTTAGCTCCCAGTCAGTTTAATTGATGGGTTATCTCTTTTCATCTAGCTGTGTCATAAACTTGCAACAGATGTTGACCTCATCAGAAGAGAGTACTGGCATTACATATCACGCAGTCTGAAGAGCAAATTTGGGCAGCCACAATAACACCATCATATTAAATGATGGCATTAACAACTGTTAATTAAATAATAATTTTTAAAATGCTGATTGAAATATATACTCAGCAAAAGCAAAAAGTGCACTTAAGCATCATTTATTTGTTCACCAAGTTCTTTCAGCCAATGGTTTTGTTTGCAGCTGACT